AAAAAAAAAAAAAAAAAAAAAAAAAAAAAGCAGACTAAACCCCGGGCCCTGAAGTGAAGGTTTCTATATGTAGTTAAACGCGATACAGTAATAGCTGCTGAACAGTGAAACAGTTGCATTTGTGCATATGGCCTTAACTCAGCTGCAGAGCTGCTTTCCCCCAGTTCTCACCCGCCTTTGGTTACAAATAAAATCACAACATCGTAATCCACTTTTTCTGAGTTTGCCTTCACCTTTCAGCTCAAAAGTTCCAGGCCATGGAGCGGCATCCTCCTACTCCTGGTGTTTCTCGCACATGTCATGTATGTGCCCAACAAGCTAATCTGTTGTATGGAGCCATCGGGCCACCCTTTCTTTTTGTATGAGTCTTCACATCACTCCCCTACCTGTGAAGCAGTCATAGGCAGTGGCTTCACTTCGGTCCTTGCTTATGGTGTCCACTATGGAAAGCCACTGAGGGGCCAAGAATACTACCGCCCAATACTGCTGACGGGCCAGAGCTGCCTTTGCGTCCTCCTTCTCTACACCCCACATGCAGTGAGCCATCCTTTCTCTCTTAACTCTCGTTCTGAAGTACCTGTTGAATCCATCAGCATCTGTCCCACATCCCCACCATCTCTCGGACACCTCCCTAAGCCAGCCACCATCCCCTTTGCCTGTGACAGACTGACATTTCTGCCTCTGGTCTCACTGTCCCCAGCTCATTCTCTGTAATGCGGAGATGTTGCTTGCTTGTGGGCTTTTTCAGGGCCTGCCAGGCTGTCATTGCTGTAGTGAAGTCCAAACTCCCAGGTTTGTCTGGTGTATATTTTGCCTCTGTCTAGAACACTTTTCATCTTGCTTACTTGGTTCCTGCTCAAACTTTAATTCTTTCTAGATGTCATTTTGACCCCAGAACTCTTTCCTGAGGCTGCAAGCCCTACTGAGAATGTCTTCTACAGGTTTTTTACATATCTGTCCTCAGTATCTACAACCATCTCCAGAAGCTATGTTTTAGCATTTTTAATGGTCCTTGCAATTTATATAATGTGCGAGGCTGTGCAGGATCTCATTAGCCCTCTTGACGATCCTCCCTGCACGGTGGATATTATCAAAGTAAGGAACAGAACTGTGCATAGATTGACATTTTCCCAAGTACACAGAGTAATGAATGCTGGGCTAGACATGCAACACGGTAACTATGATTGATTATACCGAAATGTACAAAACGGGAGGGAATATATCACTACTGTATATATCATAGTAGATACATGGCATGTTTGCATAAATCACGTCATCTCTTATGTCACTATAATAGCTTGTTCAAACTGATTTTGTGTTGCGAACACAGAATGTTCTGTGACATGGTGCTTTTCGTTCTTTTGAGAAACATTCTTTATGACAAAGACCAACATTTAAAATGTTTGACCTTTTGCTAATTTTTACTTTTATAGATTGAATTTCAAGTGCAAATTGTGGCTTATTTGAAGCCAATGTTTAATTTCAGAATGTGCTTTCTGTTCATGGAAATGTAATCAGTTTCTGGCCCTAACGTTGCAGTAACAGGCACAAAATGCCGTGCCTAGTACTAGTCCTGCCGGAAGATTGATGGCTGTAAAATGACTTTCTCGGGTTATCTGCTTTGGCAAATGTTTCGGACCTTTAGTGATTTTTTAAATATAATTAAGAATTCCCATTATCTAAAATCTGTGAACCCCTGAAGTTTTATGATTTTTGTTTCCCTTGAATTCAATTTGTGTCATTTTGAATTATAATGTTCTTTAGCCTTGTATTGTTAACCAAGCTAGACCTAATGAATATATGGAACTACCAAGCTTCTAGCATAAATTTGGACTTGGCTTTGAGTGACTGCCAGATCCATTTCTTAATTCCTGTGTGAAATTATTTTGTACCATAAAATGAGAGTTGTTTGGAGGAAGTAAGGTTCTTGGGTGTGTGATCTTATCGGTGTTTACTTTCTTTCCACCTGACAGGTTGATGTCCGAAAATCTGCCCCCTCTATGGTTGATCGACTTCAAAGGCAAATAATCATAGCTGACTGTCAAGTTTACCTGGCTGTGCTTTCATTTGTGAAGCAAGAATTGTCAGGTATGCTGAAGCCCTAGTTTAATGGCACTCAGTATTCAGCGGACACAATGGGTAATACTCTGTTTTTAGACCACCTCATACTTCAGTCTTTGTAAACATGCAGTGCCCCTTTGAAGCAAGATACTGATTTATTACTTGGGAAATTGAAACCCCAAGTGCTTAATGCGTGCTTAGCAAAATAGTTTTAGTCTCAAAGTCTGTGTTTCATCCTTTACTCTCGAGATAATTGTGTCTTAGAGAAATCACTGCTGCCTTTTGTATGAATGTAGATATATAGTCCTTTCTCTTTGTGGCATTCAAGTTGTAGCAATAATCTTTAAAGTAAAGTCTAACTGATTTAAAATTAAGTTATTGAGAAAATTGTCATTAAGGGCTTAAGTACCTTCAATGGCTTCAAGTACACTAGCAAGTCTTTAAAGATTTCCTAATAATACTTAAATGCTTGGCATTGTAACAACCTTCAGTGAGGAAGATAAACTAATTTCTTAATTTGTTCAGGATAAATGTTTTTCAGACTTTTGTAGCTTTAATTTTTTTTTTTTTTTTTTGTACTAGGGATCAAACTCGGGTCCTTGCACTTGTGAGGCAGGTAGCGGAACCACTGAGCTAAATCCGTGGCGCCCTAGCTTTAATTTCTTGAGTGAAAGTGACTCACTTGGTTGAGTCTCTGAGAGCTTGCTATAAAATTGTGTCTAAAATTGTAATGTATCTCTTGGATCTTGGGAGCAGAAATTAACCATTTTGGTAGATAGGATTTACCTGGGGGAGAAAAAAAGATATCATTTAAAATTCAATCAGAGAAGCCTTTCCTCTCAAATGAAGAATGTAGTTCTGTTAAATTGACATTTTTTTTTCTAGTAACCAGAAGCTAGTTTTTTTCCACTTTTTTTCCTCTCTTGCTTTTCGTCTTTCCCACTTGAATATTGTTGGTTTCTTTCTTTCTTTTTTTTTTTTTGGTTCCGGGGATCAAACTGGGGTCTTTGTGCTTGTCAGGAAGTAAATCCCTGGGCCTCTGTTTCCTTAGTATAAAAGTGGAATTTAACTTTTGTTTTGACGTCTCTTGGTTCTCCTAGAACTTTTCTCTCTTTTAAACTATGTCCTGTAATGTACTTTTATTATTTGCTTTGGTTCATTTTTTCTCTTCATCCTGCTTCTCCTCAGTCTCCCAGGACCTGTAAGGTCAGGAGTTCATAGGGTAGCTGAATTTCCTCTGGTCTAGTCTTGTAGAATGTCCCTTCTGGAGCTCTACACTGAGTTGGTTATAAAAGAGCAGCAAATCTCTCTGCTCAAGACAGGTGCTTGGGTCTTCTGTAGTTTTATACACCCTTTTCCTGGTGCTCAAGAATTCTGTCACGAGCTAACTACAGCCATTAAGAAAGTATCTGTTAAGTGAGGAGAGTAGCTAGGCATAGTGGCGTGTATCTGTGGTTCCAGTTACTCTGGAGGCTGAGGCAGGAGAATCACTTGCGTCCAGTAATTCTAGGCCAGCTTAGGCAACATAGTAAGACAGCTTATCTTTTTTTTTTTGGTACCGGGGATTGAACTCCAGTCCTTGCACTTGCAAGGCAGGCCACCAAACTGCTGAGCTAAATCCCCGGCCCAAGACAGCTTATCTTAAAAATTAAAAAAAATATATTGTTCAGAGAAAGATAATGCAAATGTAGTAAAATGCCTGTGAATGTATTTCAAAAGTTTAAAAATGAGTATATCTGTCCTTCCCTGGCTAGTCACTGATCCATTTGACAGTTACAGAGTTCATTCTGTGTAACAATCCCTGTGTTAAGTGAATAAGCGCATGGTCTCAACCCCTTGCAGTTTGGAATCATACCATATTATTTATTTCAAATATTATTCTAACTGTAAAACTGCTATTATAATGGAAATTTCTGGAAAGATAAAAAGAATACAAAAGAAAGCAAGTCATCATTTCCAATTTCTTCACCTGGAAGAAATCATTCTTAATCTGTTCTGTGTTTATCTGCATTTTTGTCTACACTGTTGAATCTGTAGTACTTTGTATCCTACTTTTCTCTCTTAGGTCACATTTTGGATATTTTCCTGTGATTCAGTTTTAGAATATAATTTTAAAAAACAACATATCAGTTTGTCTTATGGATAGGCTAAAACTGATTTAATCAATTCCTCCTTCCTGTGCTTTGTTCAGTGAGGTTAAACACACACCCACCCCCCAACCCCCAACCCGACCCCCAGTACTGGGGATCGAACTCGGGACCATGAGCTTTCGAGTCAGGCAACAGAACCACTGAGCTAAATCCCTGACTCCTAAACCCATTTTTAATCAGTTAATTTGTGGTGCTTAAGATCAAGCAAAGAAGGTGCTTTTCTACCAAACTACTTCCCAACCTTTATTTTTTTATTTCATCCATCAACTGTATTTCTTTCACAGATTGCCTTTATTGTTTTTGCCTAGTCTTCTAATAGCTTAATGTTAATCGATTATTCAGGCCTTTTTATCATAGCTGTTTAACAGTGAATGTAGTATGGATACTGCAGTGAAATTTCCACAGGTATAAAAGCCTCATGTCCTTTATAAATCTATCTAGTGGTAGTTTATTTTATGAATAGTTCAGTATTTGTTTTAAATCAATCAACAATTGTGCTTCATTTACCTTTCTGATACCCAATGGATTATTCATTTACAAGTTATTTACTTTATTGTTGGAATCCATTTCTTAAAAAACATTTTCAGTGGATAATTTCCGAGAAGGAACCAAAGAGAGGTTTGTTCAAGATGTTCCTACCCTCCCTGAGGAGGGGCACACGTGACCAGGGCTTTGGGAGGGATGAGTCAGTGAGTTTTTGCCTTGAAGAGTGTGGTTGTGGAAAAGATTAGCATTTCAAAAAAGCCAAGTACTTTGCATCAGAACAATAGGAAAGATGGCTTGAAGGCATCTCAGACCCTACCCTCTGCCTGTGGAAGAGCCACCTAGGAAAATAATTCCTTGAGCTCAGCCATTTAGACACTCCGGGGCTGATGTAGCCATAGTCCAAGGGGGCCTGTCTACTGCTCCCACTGATGGTGGACCATGGTATTATCCATGAGCTGCTGGTTTTTCAGGCATGTAGAATGTAAGAGCTGTGGATTTATAGAGGCTTCCACCAGAATTTAGAAGAAGCCTGGGAGACCAGGTATTATGCTCCTGAGACGGCAGTGCATGAAGCTGTGAGAATGAAGTCAGCAGTGCACTGGAGTCACCAGAAAGTTACAGACGCCAGGAATGTGAAGCATCTGCTGGGGAAAGCCACAGAACAATGAGTGGAGCCAGTCAAGGGACTGGCCATGTGGTCCCCTGACTGAACTTTTGGTTTGCCATAGAGGCATGGATGCCTAAGCTCTCCACAACTTGCCCAGATACTGGACCTGGGTGGCAAGATTTAATGTTTGCCCTAGTAGGTTTTGGTCTTGCTTTGTTCCAATTTGTTTTCCTATTCTTCCCTTTTGGATGGTAATGTTTATCCCGTACCATTATATTCTGAAAGAATTTTTCTTTTTCAGTTTTATAAGGGCGCACAGCTAAGAGTTTGCCTTGAGCTTGGAGAAGACTTTGGACTTGAACTTTTCGGCAGAGCTAAAACAGTTAAGACTTTGGCAGCTCCTAAAGACAGATTAAACACATTTTGCATAATCAAATTGATGTGAGTCTTTTAGGGGCTATAGGCAGAATGTTGTGATTTACATCTAAAATGCCCCCCGAGTGTCTCATGTGTTTGGAAGGTGTTTGAATTATAGTTGTGCTATCCTCATCACTGGATTAGTCCATTGATGATGTCATAGCAGACTCTGCCATTCTTAGGTGGGGCCGAATCTGAAAAGGTGAGTCACTGCAGATGTGACCAGGAAGTTTGTGTTCTTGTTCCCCAGCTTATCCCATCTCTCTCTGCTTTGATCTGCCAAGCGGTGAGCAACTTTCCTCTGCTCTTTCCTCTGTTACAGTGCCGTTTCTGCCTTGAAGCATGCTGACCAGGGCTGAACCCACTGAAACTATAGGCCAAAATAAATCTTTTTCTTAAATTGCAGGTATTGGGTATTTTGTTCTTGTAACAAGAAAGTGACTAATACAGATGTAAAGTAATAAGGTAACTTTGCAGACACTTCCATTCTGGTGAAACTACAACCTTTTAAAATCATTTACGTGTGATTTTTTTTTTCCCCCTCTGATTCTTACTGTAGATCTGGCTAAAAGCAACCAGCAGTACCCATGCCACAACTGAATGTTGAGCTACTTTCTTCTACCAGATCAGTTAGTCTGCCATATTTAAATTTAGCCTCACACAGCCTACATGGACAAAACATAGACAGTTTCTTTGTCAGAATGAAATATGCATGGCCTCTAGTCCAGTTTCCAGTAGAGTCCTCTTTCCTATCTGAAACCTCATGAGCCGGGCCTTTACTGCCCATATTCTTGTCAGCATTTTGGTCTTCTGAACTCCCACTAGCACCTCCCATCAGTGTCTGTTTATAGTAATCTAGAGTTTTTCACTGTTTCATTTCTAAATCTTTCCAAATACTCATGAAAGCCACTTCCAAACCACATGGTCAGGAACAGCCACGGCACTGACCATACTCCTGTTACCAAAATCTTTATTAGTCACTTTCCTGTCACTAGGATGAAATACCTGCAACTACAGCTTAAAGTAGGATAGGTTTATTTGGGCTCACAGTTTTAGTGGATCCAGTCTATGGTTAACTATTTCTAAGGCAGAAACAGCATGGTGAAAGGGCATGGTGGGAGAAAGATGCTCAATTCATGACAGCCAGGAGATAGAGAAGGGAGGACCCTGGAACAAGAATACAGCCTTCTAGATTATGCCCTTGGTACCCCCTTCTTCCATCCAGGTCCCACTCCCAGCAGCACAGTCAGCTATGAACTCATCAATGGACCACTGATGAGTACAGTGCCGCCATGATCCAATCACCTTCCAAGCACACGAGACTTTTGGAGAACATTTTAGATCTAAACATAACAATTTCTTAATAA